CTTCTCACAAGGACGAAGCTTCCAATGAGCCGACACAACCAATTGAGGGGAATGAGAAGAATAAGCCCAGCCAATCGGCTGAGGGAAGCAAAGGCCAGCATAGAAAGCCGGCTGAAGAGAATCACATAGAGCTAAATGAGTCAGCTCAGGAGGAGCTGAATAAGAAAGTTGCTAAAGGTAGAGGTAAGAGAGCCGAGACTTCGAAGCCTGAGGCCGAGGTGGAGTGTTTTCCTGACAAGAGGAATTTGGTAATTATTTTGATATGTGTTGTGATTCGAACATGTGATCTCACTATTAAATGTGTGCTTCCAATAATTATACTAAAGTTGTGCTTCTAGAATTGACGCTTCTATTAATTGGAGACATTGGCTGGATTGTTGACACTTGGCACTTCTCTTACCATTGGATGAAGTTCTAGAGACTTCTGGCTATATCTTGTGCGAGATGTTTGGCTGGCTGTTCAATTCATTCTTCTGGCTTTTGGGTTCTCACGTCTGTTCTCTTCCTTTTAGAGAGAAAACCTTATTTTTGCCTAGGGTTTACATTCTTGAGTGTTTAATCATGTAAATCTGTGTAAATCTCTTAAATCTACTTCTGATTGTTGAGAAGTGGTGTTTCTCTGAGTATTTTGTGCCATGAATCTTTGTGGTTCGAGTGGTCTTGTGAGGTGTTTAGCAGAACTTTATGATCTAGCCAGTTTTGTGCCTTGATGGTGGGCTCGACCCAAAAGCTTGTGTAAAAGATAAGTCTCTGTGATCTCAATCTGTATTCTTGAACTAATTGTAATTGCTAGCTGCCATTTTTGGACTATTAGTGCAACCGAGCGATATCCATATTATTTGGATGCTCAACGGGGGATGTAAGCGTTAGATGTGGTCGACGAACCTTCGGGACTTAGGCCGAAAGAAATCTTGTGTTCAATCTTTAATTTCTGCACTTTAATTTCTGTTTTGAGATTGATTCTTTAGATCCTGTTTTAATATCGTGCGTATTGAGCCTTTTCAATATGTTTTAGGGAAAATTTAGATATGTAGCATGAAGTTGTGTTAAATTGATTCATTTTCATCGAAATTGGAACATGCTGAAGAATAATTTATAGAAGTTTGTTTATTAATATTTTTACAATGATATTGTGCAGGAAGACCTATGGCAACAGGTCTTTCCAGTTGGGACGGAGGTTAGAATTTAATTAATTTCTCAAATTTTGTGTATCCATGAAGATTTCATGTGCAATTTTTAGTTCTCCTGATTTTACATTATATATTTTCCTGAAGTTTCTTTTATCTTTTTCGGATGCCAGTGGGATCAGTTGGGTGTATCAATACAAGTGGAACTTCTATAATTTAGAAGTTAGTTCCCTAATGTTAATTCCCCTTATTTGACTTTGACCAGCTAGGTTTAAGTTTATCTTGGAATTTTGATGCTAAGTGCTAACTCTGATTGTGGGTCGGTGGCAGGATGCATTTGAAGAAGGTGGGCTGTTATACAATCAAAAGGTCTACCTCTTTGGTTGTACAAAGCGTAAGTCGAATTTAAAACTTGTCTTCATCATTTACTCTTTGACAACATCACATGCATTGTGCAGTTCGAATTTATAGTTATGTTTAATATAAGTGAACATCGCATTTTGCTTAATGAGGTATGGCTCTTCTTGAACTACTTGATCCTTTTTGTGTCTTTCTACTATAATTTATTGATAGTTGAATTAGTATTTGTCATTTCTATGATCCTGCTCCTTCTTTGCTGCTTTATAACCGTTTATTTGTTCCCGCAGCAAAATTGGTCTCTTTCCAGGGTCAAGGAAAAGTTGCAATGATTCCTGTTGTGGTTACTGTAAGCCTAGTACATGAGATATTTAATCACTTTTGTCATACTTGTATTATTATTATTTTTTTACTGTTCCCGCTTTTTGTTTCAAATTGAGCCCATGTATTAAAATGAATTTTTTGGGAAAAATGTGTTTTGGAAAAGTAATTTTTTTGAATAATGTGCAGTTAAGAAATAAAAAAAAATTGATTTATTTGTAATATTATTTTATTAAAGAATATGTAATTGAAAATAAGAAAGAAAAATGCATTTTAAAAATAATGCAAACCAAACAAGGGCTTAGTGTCACTTAGATTTGTATTGCACCATCAGTGGTGTTAAATAACATTACTCTTTTTTTTTTCTTTTTTCTTTTTTTACTATTTAGCTTATATTTGAGCCACATTATCTAAAAACTCATTTTTCTTCACATCGTTTATAATTACACATTCTCTCAATAAAATAATTTTGCAAGTAAACCAAAAATATTTTTTTATTTTTTAATCATGCATTCTCCAAAAAATTAATATTACAAACTCTATTTTTTCTCGAAAATGAGGCTCCAATATAGTTTAAATAGGGATGACAAAAAACTTGTTTAACCCAATACTTGTTGCTCCGTCCCAAATGAAGCGGGGGTTATCCACCTATTCGAATAGAAAAGGTGGGGGGCAGGGTTGTTGCCTGAAACGGGTATAGGGGGAGTACAAAAAACATGGTTCCGTCCCGCAACCCGTCCTATTTAAAGTTAATTTTAAATATAAATTTTTTATCAAACATAAAGAAAAGATTTATCATCATTTTCAAAAAGAACATGAATTGTTTTTAACAAATAATAATAATAATAAT